AAGCTATGAAAAAACATGAAAAGGTTTCACTCATTCTCTAACACCTCCCATCCTTTAGATTCTTTTGTGTATTTCCTGAGCTCCCTTAATTATTAATTTAAGAATCCAGGGAAGAAGAGTCAGGAAAATATCTTTCTTCACATTTATACATCATTTTGAATGTAACATCTAAAGATACACACACAGATGATTTGAGACCCATTCAAAGACCATCAAAGCCATGATTGTAACACTGGTGTCTCAGTGTTATTCTATTAGTTTATCTGTCTGTCCTTACAACTTCCTTAACTGTAACCAGCATTTAACACTTTAGTTGTCAATCTAAACTGACATAAGTTGTTGACTCTTTATATAATGTATTTGAGGTGCATAAATAAAATAGCCAGCCTACAATCCTATGGCCAGAGAGTCTGGGAAACAGAAACTTTATTTAGTGGCTGATCGAAGAAGAGGCAGACTCCCTTGGTTAAGTACTGAGCTGAACTCAAGAAAGCCAGTAACAGAGAGGGAGGACTGATGATCAAAGGGATTAAGACTGGGCTGGTTTAACCCCCAGAAACAGCTGACCAGACAAAGGTTAACTCTTGAATCCCAGGCATTAGCCTGGGAAGCCAGCATGGGACTGATCAAGACCCCCCCTGAATCTGGGTGTCAGTGAAGAGGCCTAGGGAATCTATTGAGCCTTGGGCAGCAGATCAGTACCCATCCCAAGTATACACACGGACTTTGGACTCCCATAGAACAATGTGAGGTGCACTCTCACCCTGGACTCTGGGGGAAGGGTCTAGGCCCTGCCCTATATGAAATGACACACTATGCACACCCCCATGGAGGGCCTCACCCTCCCTGGAGAAACGAGGGGATAACGGGGGGGGGGAGGGCACGGGAGGAAGGGAGGAATGGGAGAGGGACCTGGAACTGACTTGTGAAGCAACCTTGTTTCTTATCTAAATTTAAACTGGAAAATAAAATTAAAAAAAAAATCTGTTAACATAAAAAAAACAAAAAAAAACAAAAAAAAACAAAAAAAAATAAAATAGCTTTTTAAAAGGAACTTTAATTAATTAATTTTTATTTTATGTACATTGGTGTTTTGCCATTGGTGTCAGGTCCCCTGGAACTGAAGTTACAGATAGTTTTGAGCTGCCATGTGGGTTCTGGGAGTTGAACCTGGGTCATCTGGAAGAGCAGCTAATGCTCTTAACTACTGAGCCATCTCTCCAGATCCATAAAGAAACTAGTTAAGGAATGTTGTTTGTAATAAAAGTTCCAAGAAACTATTTTAGGTAAGTTTCTATCCATAAGACTTCCAAGGTTTGGTTTGTCATTGGTCTAATTCTCTAGTCTAGGGGTGAAGGTCTAGTTAGTTATGCATCTGTTATTTATCATAGAAGAAAAAGTTGTCTATGTGCTGGGTGTTGCAATAACGACCACTCCGACAAGATGCTTGTTTCTTTTATACAGGAAAGGCCAAGTTAGAGCAGGGGACCCATAATAAAAACAGACTGTCTGCAGTTTTTCTTGTGAATAAGCTCAATTTAGACTGAGTCTAGTGATAGCCCACACCTCCCACACTCATGTAACAGATATTTATAGAAAATAGCTATGTGTCAGCCTTGCTGAGAAAAGAAAAAATGGATGTAATAAAGATTAAAAACAAATTTTCTGTGAGCAGTTTGGAATATCATTATGATTAAAATCTTAATGTGTAATATTGATTGGTAAGTTATAGCATGTGTATTACTATTTAGAGACAATGGCTAATTATGTAATTATACACTAGAACCTTGAAACCTTTCTCTCCAGGATCTCTTATTCATTCAGATGCTGTGTGAGCCCCAGCACAAATCCAGGAATCCTGTTCTGAATCTTCACATAGGAGAAATAGTTTGCAACCTGAGTTATCACTTTTTTTCTACATGAGATTTCCACGTAAATGCAATGTTCCTGAAGTGATTGGGATTTAGTCAGGACTTTGTCACCTTTACAATACACAAGTGACAACTCACTTCATATTTTAAATACAAAGTGCTGTGAGGCTGAGGTGGCCTTTTTGAACATAAGGACAATTATTTGAGAAATGGTCTCATGGACTGAGCAAGGACACAACTAGGATTGAGAACTTCAGGGGAGTAAGAGCTCAGTGAAGTGAGGGAGAAACTAGAGGAGCTAACATTTGCAGTAAACAGCTTTGGATATTATTATGAATAAATGAAAGCAAGATGGAAGTTGACATTTCTCCATTTTGTATTTAAGAATCAAAGATCTACCAATGAATAAAGATAAAGGTCTATTGAGTTTCATAAGCCTGGCATTAGGAACAAAATGGCCCTCATTGACAGGTGAAATTGATCTGGCATTTCCAAGAAGAGAAATGGACTTTCAGAAATGGGTTGCTTCTCCTTCCAGGGCACTTCAGCTATTTCAATAATTTAAGGTTATTTCTCATGGAAATGGAATCAATTTTCTCTAAACCTGAAGCATATTAATGAGTATTCTGAACTTTTTCCTCTTAAGTCAAGTGGTAAGTGTGAGCCAAGCAACCTTGAAAGCTATTACATTAAAGAAAACACAATTTTCTCTCCTATTGGTTGACAGTAAATTTAACATGGGAAATGCAAAGTTCTTGTGGCTATGATGTGCAGAGAAAAGCCTTCAGTATCAACCAGTTAATAATGTAGCAGGGACTCATGGTCCTGCCATCTTTGCATTTTTAATATTTAATATTTAAATGCATTTATCCCTGTCTCATAACTCTTGCCTCTCAAAATGATTTGCACCCCAGCTTCCTTGACTTGTCCGTTTTCTGTTTGACGTTGTGCTTCTTATGGAGGTAAGACCCAAAACGGTAATAAAGATGAATGTGCTTTATCTAACAAACATGGTCTCACGTCTTCATGTCTCTTTACCTCAGTACATGGAAGCTTATGGAAGATGTATTATCACCATTCTGGGAACCAGAGTCTGAGAAAAATGAGAGTTATATGTAAGGATCATTTACGGTGATGTCACCATAGGTTCATATATTTAATGTTTGGTGCCCACTTGATAGAATATTTGGGAAGGATTAGGAGGGGTGGCCTTATTGGGGGGAGGTGTTACTGGAGGTGGGCTTTAAGGATTGATTCAAAAGCCCATGCCAGACACAGTTTGGCTCTCCCCCTGCCTGCTGCCTGCTGCCTGTAGATCACGATGTAAATTTTTAGCTAGTGCTCCAACATCAGACCTGCCTGTCACCACCATCCCTAGCATGATGGCCATGGACTAGGCCTCTGAAACTGTAAGCAAGTCACCAATTAAATCAGTGCATCTTCTACAATCTGACCAGAGCTTCAGATAATAGCTTCAATCAAAATTAGAACTTCAATCAAGCATCTCCTGCCAAACAGAGACTAATTAACCTACCTAAGACTCTTGTTACACTAACATTTTCTTCCCACAGGTCCCCATGAGATTGTCATCGTCCCATTTCATCAGGAAGTAAATTGAGAATTCCACTCCCTCTCCCTACTATTGATATTAGAGGATAGTTTACACCTGTTAGTGTTAGTTTTCAATTATTTTAGGGTTAGGATTGGAAGGAGGTGTTCAGGTTTGGGTATCTCTTTCAGATAAGTTTAGAATTTAGATGGGATAGATATGTTTAGCTTAGGATATAAGTAGATTATAACTTACTTATCACCCTCTATGTATATATGTTGTATATGTTTGAGTTTGCATCAAATTTAAATCTTCTATTTAGACCAAAAGGGGAATTGTAAGGGTGAGTCCAACACAGCTATCTGCCCTAAGGGAGGGAAATTTAGGACAGGTGGAGATAAAAGGAAGTGAAAGAGAAACGAATCCCTCTTCTCTCTACCCCTGCCAGCTTCTGACGCCCCAGTCTTTTGTGTGTAAGTTCTTATTCTGGTAAAAAATTATATTCCAAATTGCATTGACCTTTCACATCACATAGTAATGATGTCCATTCACTTCAATAGAGCAGTAACAAAAACATGTACTTTTAAGTTCCTAAAAATACTATAGCTTACAAATTAATCCCAAGAAAACATAATAATTATATTCAAACACAGTTATCACCTGTAAACTTGTATGTCTGTAACAAAGACTTTTGTTTTTGTTTTGTTTTGTTTGAGATAGGGTTTCTTTGTGTGGCTTTGGAACCTGTCCTGGCCTTGAACTCACAGAGATCTGACTGTGCCTGCCTACCAAGTGCTGGGGTTAAAGGTGTGTGCCACAAACACCCAGCTTATACCTCATGATTCTTATCCCCTTAATAGTTCCCTCATGATTTCATTTTCCTAGAATGTTAGATTCTCCCTCATCCAACTCCTACCCCACTGCTCAATGTTATAGCTGGTGTTTACTTACAGCTTAAAAGCTTGAAATTATTTCTCCACTTGGTGTCAGAACAAAGAAATGGAGCTTACTTAAAGCAGGAAGAAAAAAAACTCAAAACACAACCTCAGGTGTGATACCCAGAGGCAGACTCCTTGCCTTCTATACGTCTACCCATGTTCAAGTGCAGGACTGCCCAGTGAAGAAAACTTCAATAACAAAACCTAAATAACACTACATTTTTAAAAGAGTTTTTACTACAATTTTGTTTGTTTATTTTTTATCTTAGTGGATACACGCTTGTGTGCTGGTGCTCTTGAGTTTTCATGCTCATTTCAAATGTACATGGAGGTCAGAAGAGAATTTGAGGGAGTTTTTCCTTCAGTCATGTGGTCCCCCAGGAGACTCAGATCGTTAGGCTGGGGCAGCCATCTTCACTCTGTAAGACTACCTTAAGTTTTAACAGAGTAAAGGATTACTTCTTTTTAATGAATCCAATTATGTATTTTAGGACACATTATGGAATGAAAATCTAGTTAAATTTTTATCATATGCAGTCTATCAATTTTCTTTATGAAAAGAACAGAATCATGTACTTAGGTTTATTACCCTTTCTCATACAATGACTGCTAACACAGATTCACCAAGGAGGTCCACCTCACCTTCCTGCCGGGCTAGAGGAGCTCTCTTCACTGTCCCATGGGTCATTCTTACTCCTTGGAATCGGGGGCTGCAGCATCTCAGCTGCAAGGGGATCAGCATCGTTTTCTGCTCTGCCAATCCACTCCCCAATCACGCGGGGTCTCAGAAGAGAAGAGTTGAAAGCCACTGTTTCCTGCAGGCACAAAAATAAAAAGTGCCGCTTTAGATTACCTTTTCTTCTTAACAGGTAACAGGAAAATAGCATCGTCCAGTGTTTGCTTCACTAGAACCAAAATGTCCTTTCGCTTCTTGCTCAGTTCAAGCTCAGTTCAAGTCTTCTTTTGTGACTTAAGCTAATTCCTAGGAGCGAAATCTTGACTTTGGATTCCCGGAGCTGCATGTGTTGTCAGAGGGGAGGAGTGGGGCCAGCATCCTAGGTGGAGAGACAGAGCCTGCAAGGCCCACCATGTACAAGTGTGTTGTGCCACACTGGGGAAGGCAAGTTGTCGCTCTGGCAGCAATGAGCAGCAGCCTGGAGACACAACTGTGAGGCTGTAGGGTGAGAAAGATTCATTTCTCCCAGTGTGATGTATTCTGGATTTTCAGGGATGCAGTAGAAACAGGAAATAGGAAAATACCCATGACAAGTAGATCGGGTTAGCGGAAAACATGTTGGTCTTTTCCTACACTTGAAGTGGGGCAACTGATTCAACTCACCAGTATGCTATGATGTAGCCGAGAGAATACTGATGGAGAGCATGAATATATGCAACTACTAGAAATACTTTACGTTAAAGTGTCATTATAAAGAAACACCTAAATGATCGAATTTTCGTCTGAAGCCTCCTTCATGTGGACTTACATTCACCATTTGATTTGTAATTCATTACTCAATCACTACTTTTTACTAAGGCTTAGTATGTGCTAGGAACTATCTGCTGTGTTGGGAAAATAATGGCAATAAGGAACAGCTTTTAATAATGATTTTATCTAAAAGGAGAGACTGTAGGTGATTTTAATATATTGTCTTGGCAATTCTTTATCTTTTCAATATTCCGTAGTCAATGTGTACTGTGTGGTAAATGGAATGTCCTGATTTGAGAAACAAATATTGCTCAAATCTCCTTTCCTGAAAACTTTCACTATTAGGAGAATTTTGAACAATTCTTCAAAAATTCAGACCTGGTGTTGTGTGTCTATATAATTCACAAAATATCACGCAAATGCATTGCAGAATATAATATATATATAGTATTCAAATACACAGATGTAATAAAACACAATATTTAAAGCAACACATAATAGTTTAGACACTAGCTTAAAGAATCAAGACCAAGTAAAATATGACTTAGAACTACCTTTTGCCGGGCGGTGGTGGCACACGCCTTTAATCCCAGCACTCAGGAGGCAGAGGCAGGTGGATCGCTGTGAGTTCGAGGTCAGGCTGGACTGACAGCCTCCAAAACAATACAGAGAAACCCTGTCTCATAAAACCAAAAAAAAAAAAAAAGAACTACTGTTTAATGACGTTCCTCTGAGTTACAGGAAAAGGCTAGGCATCCATTAAATGTTATTAATTAACTTTATTTGCACAGTGGGGCAGAAAGACACAGATTTTCATTGCTATTGGCTCACAGGAACATAAGAACTGGTAAAAAGAAAGTCACAAGTGACTACAGGAGCAGTAAATAAAAAGATGAAATAGTACTGAAGACTTGGCAAGATCAAAATGCCAAGAACAGCAGAGATTAAAAATAACCCTTTGGTTCCTCACTGGGAAGTTAAATGAAGTGATAGATATTACTACTGTTGGTAAGAAGAACATGCAGAGGGTATAAATGGCTTGATACTTGGCATGGTTAACTCCAGCTGGCAGAGAAATTTAGTGAGAAATAGCAGGCCATCGGGACAACTGGGAGAGACACACAGGGTGAGGACAGTTGGGAAGCCACTGCTTCACAGGATTAAAAATAGGACTAGTGTATACATCCAGGAAGTAGCTGTTCCACTCTGTACCTACTCTTCTAGGAACATGCTCTCTAAAATCTAGCCCAGAATTACTTCAACTGCTATTACAAGTTGGCCTCTTTCCAGTCTTATCATTTTAAATGTCCTCCAAAGTCCATTTGATGGAAACCTCATCTCCAGTTGAGCTTCCTTTAAGAGAGAGGGACTATTGGAAGAACACTGGGACATGGGAGTATACTCTTGAAGTATATACTGGAACCTTGGTCTCCTCTCTCGCTTCTGTCCCAGACTCCATGAAGGAAACAGTTCACTCCTCTAAGTACCCTCCATCCCAAAGCTCTGTCTTTCCTGGGCACAATAATAGGGTCAAGGGACCATCAACTAAAACTTTCTGACCCTACAAACAAAGCAAACAATTAACATCTGAATATTTTTTAAAAATGTGAAATGTCTACAGAGTTCTGAGTTATGATTTGAACAACAGGAAGTGGATGGTACTCAGTGAGAGTATAAAACAGGAAACAGAAGTTTGTACTTGGTCTGTTTGATTTCCTCTTGGAATAATAACCATGAAAGCAGGAATCAGTGTAGCTTCAAAGTGGATATAAAAAGGATCAATTCTGCCACTGTAAATGCTATAACAACAATAACAACAAACCCAACATTTCCACGAAAACTGGTTTTGAGATAAAGTGGGTTTTTTTGAATGAGAGATTCTTTTAATGGGAGAGCTGTGATGCACTGTTACTATAAAGACGATAAGTAAAGCAGTGAGAAGTATCAGAGAAGTTTAAACAGCTTTTGTTGTTCTAATCTGGTATGAAATGGTATGGGGTGAGTCATTAGGCTGTGGGGAGTGGAGTTTTGGATAATCAAGACAAGGGGAGTCATATGAAAATGGGAACAACAATTCTGAGGGTCATAAGAGCTTAGGGTTTATCACAGTGAGCATGTTGAAAAGTGACAATAAGGGATCTTGCCACACTGAAGCTTCACTGGCTGATGAAAACTGGACAATAACCAGGCACAAAATGAGAGTACAGTGTAAATCCTTACACAGAATCCACTTGATCACAATGTTTTATTTAATCACAATCTAAAACACTTATGCATGATGAACCAATTCAGATACTAAACTTGAGTTAGAAATGAAGGACATTTGTTCAGCACAAAGCTAACAGAATGTCCCCCGCTAGGTTTTACTCTCCTTGGTACCTCAGCAGAGAATAGTTACGTCATCTTGTTTTAGAACTTAATGGAATTTATTTGCACATTCATTTTTTCTCTAAAATAACAAGTCACATTCACCAAAAAAAAAAACCCTAAAATATTCTGTGTTTTCTTAGTCACCCTGTTAGGTCATCATATGAATAATACAAAGGAAAATCACTTTTATTGTTTACTTCAATACATATTTACTAAAATGCTAAAAAGCTATGGCTGTCAAGATTCATTACTACATTTAACTCCTCTGTTTGCTTATACTTTACATAACATCAATTATAAATGGAATACAAGCATTCATGATGGTTCCAGTTTATATCACAATAAGATGGTTCACTCTGGGAAGTTATTTGAAAACAAACATGTCATTCTTTCTGATTTGCATTTGTTCACATTTATTCAGTACAGATCTGCCAAGCCTTACTGAATGCAATTACCAAAAGCAACTAGAGAAGGAAGGGACAAGGAGAAGTTGGAAGACCAACAATAAAATGAGTAAGGCGTGAGGGGTGGATCAATTGTCAGAACTCAAATCCAATCCCTTACACAATCTGCTTACAAACATTTTGCACAGAATTGAACTCTGTGGTCATGTACCTGTAGCATTTGTGTATGTGTACAAAAGCCAACCATCTCAGTGGCACCTTCCCTTGTCTCAGTCACGTCTAGTCTACTCCTCTCTATTCATTTGGAGTTTTTTTTACAGCATTTATGGTCTTCTTATTTTATCTACTCATATTTACTTTTTATTGAGGCAGTGTCTCACTATGCTCTGGCTGTCCTGGAAATTGCTGTATATATCAGGCTGGACTCAGTCTCGCAGAGATGCTTCTGTATTTGCCTCTGCCTTTGGAGTGTTTGGCTTAAAAGTATGAACCACTTAACTGCCTCTTTAAATGGATCTAATTCTTTGAAATTTCACTTCATTCTCAGATGAACTTTGACTTTCTTGTACATCTTTCTTTGTAATTTCTGCTTGGTCAACAAATGCCCTAACTTAGCTAGCTGAATAACTGTTATAGATGTTGAACGCATTTCGATACTATATTTATCCATATAGTCTGAGTTTTCCAAAAATACCTCATTTTCCAAATACCCAACAACACTAGGCAAACTGGAATAAGATGGATTGAAATGCAAAGTTCATAAAAAGGAGCTCTGAGAAAAGTTGGGAATGTTTTACAAATGAATATTCCCTATCCAGGAAGTAAAGTGGGATCTGTTACTGCATCTGCCATCAGCCCTTTGGGAGCTGACAAGAAACCAACAACTTTAGATGTTATGGTCCTTAGTGTGAATCTTTAATCATGTGACATTTGGGTATCTCAAATAAGGGTAAAATATATTTTCCCCCACTTATGATTTGCATAGACAGATGGTGATGATAGAAATTATATGAGATTCAAGCAAGGCCTAGGCCCCCAGAAGCCTTTCCTGTCACCTTTTGAAAAGCAAGTGAGTCACCCTCCAGACACATGAAGAGCTCAACAGTAGTCCCTGGAGAAATTTCATGCAGAGAGGGAGGAGTGATGGGCAAGGGGGTCAAGACCGGACTGGTGAAGCCCACAGAAGCAGCTGACCTGAACAAAGGGGAGCTCATGGACCCCACACTGATGGCTGAGAGGCCAGCATGGAACTGATCCAGACTCTCAGAATGTGGATGTCAGTGAGGAGGCCTCAGCAATTTATGGGGCCTCTAGTAGGGGATCAGTATTAATACCTGGCATTTGAATGGACTTTGGGAGCCCATTCCATGAGGAGAGATGTACTCTCAGGCTGAACACATGGGGGATGGTCTGGACCCTGCCCTGGATGATATGACAGACTTTGGGAATCCCCCATGGAGTACCTCACCCTCCCTGGAGAGCAGAGGGAAGATGGGATAGGGGATGGTGGGGGCTGGGGAGGAGGGGAGGGAGATGGAGTGGGCATTGATTTATGAAGCAGAAAAAAGATATCGGTAACCATCCATTTGGCATAGATTGAATGTTTGGAATGTTT